TACAAGTCATAATAAAGCCCAGAAATATTCTCATGTTGATAAATATCTACTCCCTTCCTAATTTACTCTCTCAAGAAAAAATTTCATTATCTCCTTCAAAAGAACCTACTACTTAAAAAAAAAATGTCCTACAGATTCTTGCTTTAGGAATCCTATCTTGACAGAGGTATCCAAAAGTACTTCTGTTTTTCTAAGTGATGGCTAACAGCATGGCAGCTCTAACCCAAAAAGTCTGGGTTTACATCCTGGCTCTGCCACCTAAAACAGCTGGGTAGGCAAATTGCTAATACATTCTTAGTGTATAGTTTCCTCACCCATAAAAGGTTTGTTCTGAAGATTACATGAGTAAAATACAGCTAACATTCTAGAACGATAACTGACAAATAGTGAGAACTCAATAAAAGTTAACCCTAACAACTACTGCCTAGAGAAGATTCTAGGGAAATGGATCCAGGCTCCCATAAATCTAGTCAAGAGTGTTTTGCTAGCCCAAAGGACTTACTGATCTGAGATGACATTTATAGGAAGCAAATGAAATTCAAATACAGCTAATAGAGCCCCTCTCTTACTGTGTAATTATGTGTACTCATTATTTACGTAGCATGTTATTGTTTAAATGTCCCTAATTTCGTCCCAGTGGGCCAAGGGCCCTCGAAAGAGTGGCCAGAGTCTCAGCTTCTGCCAGTCCTTTCCAAAGCTTTTGTCAATTTACTGCAGCCAGGAAAAGTAGCATTATCTACAGCACAAAGTAGACAGAAGGCTCACAATTCGCAAATCTTAGCACCACCTTGCACTTGAGCCCAACTATAACCAACAAGCTGTAATGATAGCTTCAATTCCTACACAGAAAATCCATGAGACTGTTGAAGAATCACATTTGCTATCGCTAGTAGGTCAAAATAATAATAATTCCTTGTCACTTTAAAACCACAAAAACAAGGTTGATGGTAGGCATGGATTTTATAGATTAAAAAAAAATGGAAGCCGGGCTCGGTGGCTCATCCTGTAATCCCGCCTCTTGGGAGGCTGAGGTGAGTGGATTGCCCGAGTCCGCGGGTTCGAGACCCGCCTGGGCAACTTGGTGAGACCTCATCTCTACAATAAATCAAAAAATTAGCTGGGTGTGGTAGCGTGCACCTGTAGTTCCAGCTACTTGGAAGGCTGACACACAAGGACCGCTGGAGCCCAGCAGGTCGAGGCTGCAGTGGCCGGGAGCAGCCACGGCACTCCAGTCTGGGCGACAGAGTGAGACTACAACTCACAAAAATAAAATGAAAAATAAAAAATAAAAAAATCTCTACCACCTGACAAATCCCTGTGATTTTTTTTTTTGAGTTACAGTCTCATTTTTTCATCCAGCCACCGTAGCCTCAACCTGCCGGGCTCAGGAAATCCTTCCATCTCACCCTTCCAAGTAGCTGGAATTACTACAGACATGCACCATCAAGCTCAGCTAATTTTTTTATTTATTGTAAAGACGAGGTCTCACCAAGTTGTCCAGGCTGATCTTGAACCCCTGGGCTCAGGAAATCAATCCTCTTGCCTCCACCTCCCAAAGTGCTGGGATTACAGGCATGAGCCACCATACTCAGTACAGCAATTAAAATGAAATTAGGGTAACCCCCTCGGGGGGCGCTCCCACTGTGGGAGTTTTCTGTCCTCTCAATAAATCCTGCTTTCTTTAAAAAAAATTTATTTTAGTTTCTGAAAAGGAATCTTAAGAGGGTTGGGAACCAGCCAAAATATATTTGTTTAAAAAAAAATGCATGACCGGGCTCAGTGGCTCAGCCTGTAATCCCGCGCTTTGGAAGGCTGAGGTGCGTGGATTGCCTGAGCCCGCAGGTTCGAGACCTGCCTGGGCAGCGAGACGTCATCTCTACAATAAATCAAAAAATTAGCTGGGCGTGGTAGCGCACGCCTGTAATTCCAGCTACTCAGAAGGCTGAGGCGGAAGGATCGCCGGAGTCCAGCAGGTCGAGGCTACGGTGGCCGGGAGCAGCCACTGCACTCCAGTCTGGGTGATAGAGTGAGACTCCAACTCAAAAAATAAAAATAAAAATAAAATTTTAAAAACTACACGACTGGCCAGACAAGGTAGCAACATAGTGAGACCTCATCTCTACAAAAAAATGCAAAAATTGGCCGGGCATGGTAGGAAATGCCTGTATTCCTAGGTACACGGGAGCCTGAGGCAGGAGAATGGACACAGTCCAAGAGGTCACATCTGTGGTGGGTGAGCAGTGATTGTGCCACCGCACTCCAACCTCGGTGACAGAACGAGACCCTGGCTCAAAAAAACACCTCAAGGGATCTACAAAAGCACACACACACACAAACACACACACGAGAAAACACAGTCTACAGTTACAATTACCCCTGTGCCCAACCTCACCAGCCCAAAAGTCTTGGTGGGTTGTTCTTGGCTGTCTCAGCTTTCTCTGGATCACACCTGAGCAGATATCGGGGTAAGTGCACCTACAGACGAGGAGTCATCCCCATGAACTCCTGTGCCTGCCAGTACCTCCCCCAAACAAGTAAACATATTTTAACCGGTCAGCTGCCTCTGATTCAGAAAATGCTCAGGTTCTGAAGCAAAATTGTTAGAGAAATCCAGTATGCAGAGTATCAAAAAGGTGGCCTTGGATTGCTGCCTGCATAAACACCAACACAGACCAGAAAATGCCATATTCACAGCAATTTCAAACAACCAAAAAAGAAGCCTTGGTGTCTCTGTACCTTTTAAAGACTTTAAAATCTGTATCTAGACCAAAAGCAAACTACCATGACAAAAACTAGCCTTTCATTATGAAAGTGATGCCAGAATTATTGAAAGTCTTTAGTGATCCCAATAGAGACGTCTTTGCCAACTAAGAATTTCTCCTCAGCACCGACAAGCCCTCGACTGTGCCAAAGTTAAAGCTGCAATTGGCCCACTGGCTGGCAGCACTGGTTGCTTCTTGAATGACTAACTTAAGTGTGTGCTAGTTGACTCAAATTCAACCTTTATTAAATCCTCCGCACCTGGCTAATTTCTTGTCCTTAAAAGCAATGTTTCCCAGTTAAGAAAAGGGTGTTTTTGTTTTTGTGTTAGCAATTCAAAGAAACACTAAGGAATGGCCGCTCCTAACAGCAACTACAAGAAAATCACAACTGTAAAATCTCAAACTAGAGTGGCTACTGCTCATTCCAACTCTAGGATGCAATGCTGTTCTCTTTCATCACCACCCCCCCGAATGTAATCAAGCAAAAACACTATGCTCCGTGTGAAACAGTGACAATAAACAAGAACAATTACATCAAACGTCCTCTAAACAGACGTGGGGTTTAGAGTTTACAGTATTACAAGCAATGAGTGAATAGAAGACCCACATAAGAAGGCAGAGTACCCTTTAGGAAAACAGCTATGGGGTCCACATTGTGTATGTATATGCACATAGATTCCACAACTTACTTTGTTTTCTGTGAATGAATGAATCAACGTGGGCCTTTCCCATACACGTTGCCTCCGATCTGTTGGGGGACACACACATGACTGCGCCACTATGGCCTTCATGGTTGACCTCCAAAGCCAAGTCACCCATAAGAAAGAAAATCCAGGGAGGTAGGGGGAGCCTCTTGTTTCAAGTCACGCAATAGTGAGAAAAGAGAGCACAACTGGGGTGAAAGGCAAAGTTCAAGGAGGTCATCTCAGAAAATGCTGCTGTGGCTCTGCGGAAACACAGCAGCAACAGGTCCTGCCTGAAAGCACTAGTCCCACCAAGAGGCTGTCAGTCAATGCAACTAACAACTACACAGGCAGGTAACAAAGTGGGAGCCACTGTGAACCTGTCTTTCCACACCCTGGCAAACCGTCGAGCACCCCAGGTGTCATGACTCTCCTACAACCAAGCCAAGGGTCTCAAAGATACAGAACCTCCTCTTTCTCACCTTCTTGCCCCAAGCAAGTATAAACCAGAATATAATCAATTCATTCGCATGAAACCATGATCCAAACAGAAGAATAAGTGCATGAGAGATTATGGAATGTCACCACATTCCCATAAGATAAATGGTTTTTGTTGGATAACTCCATCTGAATCATATGGACCCCATTAAGAAGAGACACAAGAGCCGGGCTCGATGGCTCAGCCTGTAATCCCAGCACTTTGGGAGGCTGAGGCGAGTGGATTGCCTGAGCTGGCAGGTTCAAGACCCGCCTGGGCAACTTGGAGAGACCTCATCTCTACAATAAATCAAAAATCAGTTGGGTATGGTAGCTAGCACGCCTGTAGTTCCAGCTGCTTGGAAGGCTGAGGCGGAAGGATCGCCGGAGCCCAGCAGGTCGAGGCTGCGGTGGCCGGGAGCGGCCACTGCACTCCAGTCTGGGCGACAGAGTGAGACTCCAACTCAAAACAAAAAAAAAAAAAGAAGAGACACAAGAAGAAACCCAAATAGGAGCAAGTTTCCTTTCAGGCTGCAAGGAGCCATCTGATACCCACCGAGGAAGCAGCACACTTCAGGAGGAGCAGGAATTCGCAGCCACTGCATTCCTGGTTCCCTGAAGCAACCTGCCCAGCCTGATCGCCAAGGAAGGAAGCAGGTATTAGAAGGCTGTGGGCCAGAGAGCAGGAAGGGCAGCAGGAATGTAGAGTGGGGCTATTTCCTATACAAACTGGGGACAAGAACTAAGGACTCCACATTTCAGCACAATCATCAAAGGGTTGTGCTCACATCCTGGGGCAGACAAGGCAGATACCCACAGAAAAACCGTAAGACAGGCTCCATGTTCAATGCAAGCCCTAGGGAACAGACTAAGGCATTTGTCCAATATATTCTGCAGTCCATAAAGATCCATAAAAATAAATCTACAAACCGAGCAGTTAGTCCAGAGTGCTTATTCACACAGCCTACAGACTGTCCTTGCATGCCAAAACTCAGCAGCACAAGTCACCAGATCACAGCCAGTTCAAAAACAAGGCTATGCCCTGAGATATCATATATTCCAACAAGAGTCGACTCACCATTCACTGTTTTCAGGCTCCCAGCAATGCCTTCCCCATGCTGCCGCTTCTGGGCATTCTTGAACTCCTTCAGAGACAAATAAAGGACTTTACGTACCACCCTTTCTTCTGACCACGGAATCCCATCACTGTCGTCCTGGAGAAATAGAGAGAGAAAGGGGAGAAGGAAAGTTAGTGAAAAGAGCACAAGCAAGCATACAGGGTTAGAATAATTTTTTTTTTTTAATTTCAAAACAAATATTAGGTGACCTAGACCCAGTTCTGGAGGTCAGGCTTACGACATAAGGTAAAAAAGGACAACACCGGCCTTACTGGACAGACCTCAAGCAAAAACTCATCTACAGACCATTTTAAAAAGAAACATACAACCAGCTCACTTCTTTATACACCCCAACCAAAATACATTCATTATCTAGCAATACCACAGTTTTATATTCCTGACAAAACTCACAAGAGGAGTTATTAAACTCACAACCAGAGGTGTAATGGACAATTTTACTGGATTTTTTTAAAGGTAATATCACAATGTATCCTGCGTTACAAATATGCACAGCACTCTTTCGGAAAATTTGTTGTCAGCATTGGAAGTTGAGAGAATACAGCAAATATAGAGGCTGCCTTCAAGGAATTTACAATTCAGTCAAAAGAAATGGCATTGGCCCTTAAGTAAATAAGTGACAGCCAGATGCTGGTGGTTCATGTCTGTAATCCCAGCACTTTGGGAGGCGGAGGCGAGAGGATTGCCTGAGCCCAGGAGTTCGAGACCAGCCTGAGCAACTTGGCAAGATCTCATCTCTACAATAAATCCAAAAAGTAGCCGGGCATTGTGGTGCACATACTACATGGAAGGCTGAGGAAGAAATATCACCTGAGTCTAGCAGGTCGAGGCTGCGGTGGCCCTGAGCATGCCACTGCACTCCACCCTGGGTGACAGTGAGACTCCAGCTCAAAAAACAAAAATGAAAAAAGCAAATACATGACAAAAAGGGAGAGATCACTGCAGAAGAAGGCGATGGACCTTGATAGAGTTCAGATGTTAATTTAAGAAGGACTTACAGCCGGGCTTGGTGGCTCAGCCTGCAATCTCGCGCCTTGGGAGGCTGAGGTGAGTGGATTGCCTGAGCCTGTGGGTTCGAGACCCGCCTGGGCAACTTGGCAAGACCTCGTCTCTACAATAAATCAAAAAATTAGCCGGGCGTGGTAGCGTGCGCCTGTACTTCCAGTTGCTTGGAAGGCTGAGGCGGAAGGATCGCCGGAGCCCAGCAGGTCGAGGCTGCGGTGGCCGGGAGTGGGCACAGCACTCCAGGCTGGGTGACAGAGTGAGACTCCAACTCAAAAAAAAAAAAGAAGGACTTACATTCATAGGCCTACTTTAAGACACACATTTTAGAGATCAAAGATATCCTGAGACTTAAAATAATAAGGAAAACATTAATATCCTGGATAAATATCAGGATTCTGGATATTCAGGTTCCATTTGTTCAAGCACAAGGCTGAACATCTTCAAGAACTCATGGACAATCTGGTGTTCTTTTACCAGATTACGAAGAAGAATTGGATTTTACTCCCTGCCACTAATAGATCCTATAAAACCTCCACGGGACTCTGAGAAGGCTAAATGATCTGAGGTCTTTTCCAGCTCTTAAATTCCTAAACTCTGCATAAACACAAACTACATCTCAGAAATCCAACCACACAGAGACTCTAAGCCCTAAATAACTTAAGCTGCACTCTTGTTAAGCTTCAAGGATTTCCTAGAATGAGAGTGATTCTCCATCTTCTACAATAAGGGGGAAGAAAGAAAGGCCTGAGGAAGGAGAGCTAGGATTTCCACCTTCCTCTAGACATCCTTCACTCCCACAGGCCTGCCAAGCGGAGATTTCCGTTTCCCAGGCAGCACCTCTAGAGGAAGAAGGAACAACCTGTCTTCCAGCTCACTCTCCTGAGTTCCAAGACACCCAAAGATCAGAGTGGGGGTCAGGGTTCAGACACGCAGGCTTAGAGAAGCCAGCAAACTTTGTTTCAACCTGGCAAGAGGAACACAAACAATTTCTAACCTGCTACTGGGTGCAAGTCACTAAGAATTTCCCATCACGTGATTAAAAAGCAGAAAAATGCAGCATGGTGGTCAGATCCCAACTGAGGAGCCCAAGTAAGAAACCTGAGCGAAATGCTGCTAATTTGGCTACACAACACATGAAAAGTGTGATGCAGCTAAAAAGTATTTTTACAGCAACTCCTTTGAGTTTGCAGGAAAGCTCCCCTAGCGTATTAGCTGCCACCAAACGACAGTGTTTACCTGCAGGAGGAGTTAATGTTTCTTAGGCAGCCCCAGTTTATTCAAGGCTATCAGGCAAAACTCTCATCACCACCAGGTTCCTATGCTCATCTCTTGCATTTCCACAATAAACAATGACATGAGATTATAAACTATGATTTCCTACATGTACACAGTTTATAAATTACAAAGCCCCAAAATAGCTTTCAATGTAAAACTCCCATGACGATTTACTGCATCCTGTGCCGGCTGGTGCCTTCATCCTGACTTCAGGCTCTAGATGAGAGAATTATATATACGTACAACTAATGTCTAATTAAAACATAAACCATGTGAGATGAAAACGCCTGCAAAGGAAGCACATTTAAGGTTCAGTTACTCGCACAACCAGCTTCATTACAACCATAAAGTACTTTAAATACAGGAGAAGCAAATCCACGGCATAGATTATGGGGTTTCATATGCTAGATATTAAAACACACACATGTGTACGCACGCTTTTGTAATCTGCAGTGCTGGTCAAATTTTGTCACCTCTCTCAATGCTAACACAAGACTCAGACCTAGCAGATAAAAAGCTGACTCTGTGCTGTCCCAAAAGACAGACCAGTATGTAATAATTCCAAATATTCCAAATTAAACTGCCTTTCTGAAATGCAAATGCAACTAAAACAAAAATAACTAAGTGAGACTTAATTAAACTAAAAAAGAAATAACCAACAGAGCAAATAGGCAATCTATAGAATGGGAGAAGATATTCACAAACTGTATACCTGACGAAGGACTAACATCCAGAATCTACAAATAACCTAAACCAATCAGCAAGAAAAGGGCAAACAACCCCTTTAAAAAGTGGGCAAATGACAAGAACAGATATCTTTCAAAAGAAGATACACAAACAGCAAACAAACATATGAAAAAATGTTCAGCATCACTCATCATCAGGGATATGCAAATTAAAACCACAGTGAAATACCACCTTACACCATTTTACATGTCCATTATTAAAAGATTTTAAAAACAATAGATGCTGCCATGGATGTGGAGAAGAGGAACACATACACTGTTGGTGGGAGTGTAAATTAGTACAACCCCTATGGAAAGCAGTATGGAGAAGACTACTCAAAGAACTAAAAGTAGGTTTACCATCTGATCCAGCCATCCCACCACCAAGTATCTGCCCTAAAGAACAGAGGTCACTATATAACCAAGACACCTGCACCTGCATGTTCATCCCAGCACAATTCACAATTGGAATTAACCTAAATGCCCATCATCTGATCAGTGAATGATGAAAATGTGGTATATATACATCATGGAATTCTACACAGCCATAAAAAAGAATGAAATCATGTCCTTTGCAGTAAGGTGAATGGAGTTGGGGCAGAATTCAGAAACTAACTATGGGGCACAGTGTTCACTACTGGAAATGGATCGCCTGAGACCCAATCCTCACCACTACGTAATACATCTATGTAACAAACACGCATTTGTACCTCCTTCACCTAAAAATTTTTTTTAATGTTTTCAGCTGGATTACTGTTCTGATATACTATAAGACACCACCAAAAGTTCTTATAATGTGTCTCAAGACACGGACCCATTAAAGACTGCTGCTGTCCATTGATAGGCAACACTTCAGTAAGATGGATCATCAAATCTCCTCAGAGAACTCAAGTACTTTACTGCAAGAAAACAGAGACATTAAAGCTTACAGACCAGGTGCTACGCAGAAGATATCACTTGGAGTCACATGGAAAGACACTAAAAAGTGATAATGACTGCATTTTGTATTAATAGTAAACATGTACTGGGCACTGTTTGCTAGGCATTGTGCACAGGATTTACCTGCATTCTCTGTTCAGCCTCCCTTTACAATAAGGTCCACACCACTACTTTCTCCGTTAATTAATTATGAAACTCTTTTAGCTATTTCTTAGAGTGCCATGCCCAAAGGTGATACAGTTAGATAGAAACAAGAGCTGGCATAGGTTCAAGGCAGATGCCAGATCGGAAAGTGAAATTTCAAAACTCAGAAATCTGTTAGTAATGAGAAAACATTAAATGTGTAACTCACACTGACTCTTAAGTGAAAGCAAAATTGCAATTACTAATTTGTAGAGACTGAATGTAAACAATACACAAAAATAAAAACACTACTAGTAAAGGGGTGAGGAGAGAAGTAGTTTTCTATTCCTGATCTCTACAAATTCTCCTTATGAAATCGGTGCATGCCTTGGTTTCGATTATGGCTTCCAATTCAGGTCACCTTGATTTTGGAGAAAAAAACAAGAAAGAGGTTAGAGAGAACCCCACTTCTGAACAACTTAAACACCATTTTCTAACAATTACAACTGTTTAAAAATGAGAGTGTTCAATAGAGAATGGTTAAATCTCTATCACTTGCAGGCAAACTGCTTAAGGGACTTATGCATCACAGGTGGAGTGGTCAAACCATCCAAACCGAGGGATGGGGATGATGGGGAGACAACTTGTAGAAACTGGGTTATGGGGCAACGGTTTAGTAGGCCCCTTCCAGCGGATATGAATTCATTTCAATAAAAACAAAGCACCTTAAGCACATCCATCACCAAACAAAAATAAAGACAATACAAGAAATAGTAAAGAAAGATATAGCAAGATTGACATGTGATAGACATCTCAGTTTTAAGATGAAAATCAGACACTCCCATTAATGTTTTAAATAACAACCTGCCGTGGCTCAGCCTGTAATCCCAGTACTTTGGGAAGCCAAGGCAAGAGGACTGCCTGAGCCTGCGGGTTCGAGATCCACCTAGGGAACTTGATGAGATTTCGTCTCTACAATAAATCAAAAACCAGCTGGTTGTGGTAGCATGC